TGGGAACAAGCCAAACCATCCCCTTCTCCCATAATTTCAAAATATAATAGTCTAAAGGACCTTTGTTTCTTTATCAAAATTTTAGTTACACCAATGCCTGATAGGATGTTTTCCTTTTACTAAGAACCTGAGGTGCAGGTTCACCAGAAGACCAGCCCAATGCAAGTATGAGAACAAATGCAGCAGACAAGAATGTACAATATTACTTTAATCCATGTGACACAGAGGAAAACGGACCAGTCATAACTCACAGTTTGCAGAAAGATCTCTTTTGTAATATATTGTTTGAAACAGCTTTTCAAGAGAAACCAATTATGGCATCTCTATATTTTCCATAATTTTGCACAATAACTTTTCAAACCGCAATACAGTATATATCTCCTATTATAAGAAAAGGAAAAAGTACTTCATATATATTTTCCAGAAACTTTTTTTTTAAAAAAATAATTGCTTGCACAAGAGAAAGGTTACAAATTTTAAAAGTACTTTTATTGTGTATCTTTCATAATACAGTTAGTGAAATTGCTTTATTTCCATGATCAGTCAGACCTGCTTCCCCCACTGATATTTAACAAAACTAAAATATTTAAGCACAAACAGGTTAATCTTTTCTAAATACCTGGGGATTTGATTTGGCTAGATTTTCTATTTTAACCCATGCTTCTTCCCGTTCCTTCAATTTTAGCTTCTCTCTGGAAAAAAAAAAAAATCAGAAGCAGGTATGGTAAAAGAAGCTTGGTGAATCTTGCATCGCAACTCGTATACTTTCTTAAACATGAAGACATTCGCTAGAAAAATTCAACAGAATAAATCATTTAGCTATGCCTGTTTCAGCCTACTGCCCAAAATATCACTTACTTTTGACAGGGTAATTTGCACCTTATCAATACCCCATGATCGCAAAGCAACATTAAAAGGGAAAATCACATTTTCTCATGAAAGCAACAAACTGATTGATACCAGTTTAACAACTGTACATCGTTAAAAGAGTTAAAATTAAACAGAAGGAAGTCCTGATCTATGTTGAAAGGGTGTGTTGTGTTTTAACTTTATAATATTTGAATTCTATATTGAAACAGAAGAAACTAATATCTGACCATAAAAAAGTGCAGAGATTCTTACTGTCAGCCCAATGGCTTCAGATAATAGTTCACAGGCAAAGGTACAGGGATATTTTGAGTTGAACACTAACAGAGAAGTACACGACAAAACCACACTCATTCGAGGGAGTCACAAGCCAAGAGGCATGACATGGGATGCTTTTTCTTTTTTAAATTGAAGTAGGAAAGGCCTATTAAAAATGGTAAAACACAGGACTTTCCTTTCTTTCTTACAGATGAAGAACTTATTGCAGAGACTAGAATGAACACCTGTCTTTGAAAGGTGGTAGAGTTTAAAAGAATCCTAAAAGTGCTTATGTTCAAGCACATACACAATTTGCCTCCAACTTCCAAGTTAAGCTTGGGCTGGGGGAGAAGAACTCTTTAACCACTCCCTTTTAAGTTCTTGTGTGGTGGGGGATTTTTTTTTTCCTGTTTTTGTTTTGTTAGATGTCACTCGGCACTCTGCTTGCCTTAGATCACACTCAAAAGGCTACTCAACCCAACATGCCACCGCCCCAAAAAACCCCAACACCAAAACAGAGAAGAAAAGATTGCTTTCCCATTTAAAAGGGATTCTACTTATTTGCTGTGAGGGAAGAGACCCCTACATAGTCTTTTGTCAAAAGCAAGTGTTCACATTTTGTTAACTACGAACACACACATACACATACATCTTAAAAATATCTTGTTATACTACAAGCTCATTTCTACTTAAATTGTAACAAGGAACTTCTAAACTTGGTCAAATCAATCTACATTAAGAATTTGTACTACTTCCAGTATACTGGTTTAAAATAGCTGTATAATGTGAACCACTACTTGAAGGAATCCTTGTTCACTTTGAAATTAAAAATGAAAGTCAAATGCAGGTATTTTCAGTACCCACATTCTAACAATGCTCCCCAGTCCCTAAAATGAAAGCCAAACCATTAATACTTTTGATTCCTTGATCTCACTTTGGTAAGCTTCATAATATACTGAATATTCAAAAAATTCTGTCTATTTAGCAAAATTGGAAATAGAAGAACAGAAGATTAAGTGACTTTATGATCATGAAAGTTAGCAGCATTTTTGGGCATAAACCAGAAAAAATCTAGCTTCCGAATCCCTGCTCTGTTCACTGACTTATACAATAATACACTAAATTCAACAGGATTCTTTTGGCAAATAATGTATGAACACCCTGTAAAGTAACAACCATTTCAGGTAATCTTTACAAAAACATCCACATATGCGCACACACAACGCAACGCTGAAAAATACTAGAAAAGTGTTTTGGGAAGAACTGAGAGACAACATGAAAGAAAATAACACTGGGTAAATAAAGCATACTAAAATAAACACAGGATGTAAACTAAACCATTTAACAGACCTTTTACACTGGGCTCCACAATTAGCAGTTTGGCTCAAAAAATTAACTTTCAGGAAGATGCTGACCCCCAGCAGTATTAGGTCAAAGACTACATGAAGCATCCTATTCTTAAGAAAATTTTACAGTTTGCATATAACAAGACGTTTCACCAAGCTGACTTTGAGACTGCTGAACTGTAATCAAATGGGCAACTTCTCAGTAAAGACATAGTATAGTAGTTTTTCAGAGCTAAAGCACTCTGGACAAATTATTCAAGAATAGACAGACACACTGACATGAGAACTTACTTCAGTTTTTCTGCTTTAAATTGCTGTGTGCAGTCATCGAACAGTTTTTGGTTCATCTCCATGAAGAGTTTCAGAGCATTGTATATCAAGCCATGTATTGTCCTATAAGTAAAACTTCTGGTTGAAACTCAGAGTACTTTAAACTTTGAAATCTATTTTTTTTCTGGTCAACAGTAGCCAATAGCCTACATAACTGGAAAATTACATCATTTCAGAATAAGTGGAAACAAAACTAGTTAGTGGAAGTTTCAGTTTACCCTCAAAAGGGCTAATACAAGTACCAAAATTACCAACTTTAAATGCAGTTTTCTTACTCCATAGTACTACTCATCACCAACACTTTTCAGGTTTGAACTTCATTTTTAATACTACATGTATCAATACAGGTCTAGTTCTGAAATTTAGTAGCTGACACTAATCAAACCAGGGTTATTAGAGAAAATGCATGATGACATGAAAGATCTTGATATAAGTAACTTACTGGCAACTGACAAATTCAAGGAAAAAAAGTTAGTGATTAAAAGGAGCCTAGAAAAGACAGCACTGATTTTGAAAACTGCCACACAACAACAGCACTCACTTCAACACGATCATGCCAAGACTCTTTAGAAACTGTTAGAAAAGTGAAGTAGAAAACAACTGAAAAGTTTAAAATAATCTGCTTCATGAAGCACTTTTACACAGTAATTTACAGTTCCAGTCTGTAATCTATCGCTGATCATTGAATCCAAAAAGCAATCAGTTAAATGATTACTTTGTATCATACATGTGAGTTACAAGCAAGAGTGCAGCTGTACTGGGTAGCATGGCTTCTGCTCAGAATAAAGTGAATGCATGGCCTTTGCCATGAAAGCCAGAAAAACAACCAACAGCAATCCACGTGTACTATGTACAATTGCATCACTGAATCAGAATTTCATTAATGAGTACATTATTTGTCACTGCTTACACCCAGTGACAGTGACCAATCACTTTAACATTGCTTTATCTTCCATTTCTTTTCCTGTGTTTAGTGGCAGATTGATTACTCATTCTTGGCCAGCCCATCAGCAGTCCTCAATTCATGGCCAGCCTAGACTGTGATACATCCCAGCAGTTGCACAATAGCTCAAACAAAGAGGCTCTTTACAATGGAACAGCTGCAGAAAGGAGCTGACCAGAACTGTTTTCATGCATAAGTACTATGTTATTGTGGGGAAAAAAGTGAAAATAGTCAATTGAGAAAGAAGAGAAAACAATAAACAAAAAGGAAAAAAAAAAAAGAAAAAAAAAGGAAAAAATGGCCTGATCTACAACATACTTCACTAGAATGCAGAAGAAATGCAAATCAGCAAAGAGGTTAGAGAGCAGACAAAGTTAGTCTTTAGAAGTATCTGAACTAGAGATTAATGCAAAATTTGCTTCACATTAATACAAACGTGTCATGGATTAGATGCACTAAAACACTGTTTCTTGTTTAATGAAAAAAGGAAAAACTATCTTCCTGAATTCTTAATATTTCCTAAAAATTTTGATGACATTAGTCTCCTTATCCAGCAACTTTAATGTCATAGAATAAACAGCTCAACACACTATTAAAAGTAGCAACTCAAAGATCCGAACTACTTTTAAGCCTAAAACTAGGCATAAGTGAAGTAGCAGAATTTTATTTGTACAAGTGTTTCTTACTTGTTCCAATGCGTCTTTGAGTTCCGGTACAAGGACGGAAACATGATGGGTAATATCTTTGCTGCATTATCACTAATTAAACTCATAATATATTCGTTATTCCAGTAGTATAATGCTCGCTCTGCAACCTAAGAAAACACGAAAAAAGGAACACTTCTTCAGACAATCTCTTAAAGAGCAAATAAACGAAATATTTGACAAATACAAGGGAAAGGTAAGAAAAGTCGCAGTTTAGATTAGGATTTTTCTAGTGCAAACAGGAGTCATGGAGCTGATGGAAAAAGAGAAGAAAAAATTGCCTTTTCCTTGATAGGGACATAATTCAAAATATAACCTATGAACTCTGAAATTCAAGCAAAGAAATCTTTTTTTAAAGAAAGATTATTTCTAGAATGCTATTACAAGCAGTGAAATGCAAACGCTACGTACTGAAAGGGTTCAGGTACTTCTGAGAACAGCACACTTTTAAGCTTTTATGTGAAGCATAAGGCTGAAGTGAGTCACCCAATACAAATGCACATATAGCACTCTTGAAAAGAAACAATAAAGCTGACATTTAGATCCCTAAAATTTGGCACAGAATTGAAGACTTCTTTTGCAACAAATAAAATTCATTATGGTGAATAATAGTAGGTAATGCCATTAACAAGTCTGCTTTGTAAAAATTCTTGTATTATTGTACATTCAGTAAGTACAAACCTGAAAGTGTGGACTCGACACACATTTCGCTAGCTGTCTGAAAAGAGGCTCCATAACTTTCACAAATTCAGATGGTTCAATAACATCTAAAATTTCTTCTAGTTCATTTAAAAACATGACTTCTTTTGGACTGTGAGTCTTTGGCCAGTATTTCAGCAGTGCCATTACAACCTGTAGAGACAAAGAGAACATAATCTTCATGATAATTTGGCACTACCTTGCACTAAATTATATCTCACTAAGACGACTGATATTTTAAACACAACACAAAACTCTGATTTCTTGTCCCATGTGACAGCAGACAGACATGGTTCAGTTCACTGAAATAACTGTTAATAGATCTAAAAACACTTCAGAAAACGAAGTTAAACACCTAAAAGGCATGTTCAAAAATAGCAATCAAAATCAAGTAACCTGGTACCTAAACATTATCATCAAATCAAAGTGCAAATTTGCTACTATACTATGGGGGAAATTATCCGCGCCTTAAGTGATAGCAGCTTTCAATCTCTAATTTCTTGGAGGCATACTCCAAAGCTCAAGAAATTAAATTCTGTCATTATCTTTTAAGAAAAGGTTTACTATAAATACCCAAATTGACGGGTGACTGACTACTGTAGGCATGTTGCTCTCAAACACGTGAGTTTTATTTAATTGACTGTATTGCTAGAATCACAATTTATAACTTTCTTCATCATTATAAACTATTCGTCTAGTTTGCTAAAGCAGGTTTTGCCTAGCAAACCATGAACACTCAAAAGATAGGTGTGAGGAAGAGGGGAGGGACAACTAAAGAATCGATAAAAACGTGACACAAAAGGAAGCCACCTGCCAGCTGGCTCACAGCTCTTCAGAAAGGGTTTATACATCTGTGGGAAATGTTTCTGAAGTCTCATTGAAAAAGAAACTCTGTCATCTATTGAATATATAAGCAGAAGACCGAAAAGTGATACTAGTTCAGAAGTCAAATATATTTAGACATTGTATTTATTAGTGGAGTTATCAATTACATCATTGTGTATTTTTGAAGATTCTTGAATAAAGTTATACTGAAGCAATAATGACTCTTATGCAATTTCTGATTTAAGGAAAATGTAAGTAGACACAATGTTTTTGTTACGAAAGGAGGATGAATTCTCCCCAATATGTCCATTTTCAAACCAAAGTGTAAGATTTTAATGGTTTTAATTTCTTTTTCCCCTATAAAAACTGTTTTCCATCTGTGTCAATTTGGTGCACAACAATATTCAAATAGGAAGACATTTTCCTTTAAAGGATGTTTAAACCACGTTAAATACTTAAAAATGACTGGCACAGCACTCAATCTTAAATTTAGATATTTTTGATGGGAAATTAATACAACCTTGAACATGTGAGTTTATAAATGCTTTTGTTTTGTGGTTAAAAAGCCACATAAAGAAGAAAAATATGACAGTGTCTGTCTGGTCCTACACGTAGAACTGGAGGAAAAAACCCAAAACGGTACAGACTTCTTGAAAAAACTCCTCTAAAATAGTTTATACTTGTCTTTTTATATAGTTTAAAAGCTGCTACAATCCACTAGCCTTTCTCTCAGTTTTTTTTCTTTCATTTAGGGAAAAAAAAGCAGTTTTTTTTTGTTTTCTGAAACAGAGGACATTTTTACAGAAGTCCAGTTTTTATACTTAAAACCAATGTTTAATATCATCACAGACAAGACAACTCTGTGAGAAATCAGCGCATCTTTCATAGATGTATTATTTAATCATGAAAGCAGACACTATGACCTCAACGAAGGTTTGGAAAATTTATGCCAATTTTTTTAATTAAGATGTCAAAAAGTCTCATAGGACAATTATAAGGGGAAACAAAGCATTTTATTTGGTAATGACCATAATTTTTGAAGGGGAACTTAGTACTTCAGTGATGCATGTGCTAAGTTTTTAAATAATGTTGTAATCATGTACTAATTTGGGATCAAAAAGGGAAACAAGACTTGGGTGTGTATTAGCTCAGATTTGTACTAGGGAGCACATAATAGCCTAGCTGATGTCTGGAAGAAAGCCAAGATTTCAAGATCTCATATAGCACAAATGACAAAATGTCTGATATTTGCTATGTTAAATATTAAAAGCTCCAAGTAGAAGAGAGCTCTTGCTCACCTGCATACTTCATTTGTTTTAAGAATCCCAGTTTTCATTTTACAATGGAAATGGTTATAATCCAATAACGTGCACTTCTGCCAGTAGCCATTGTTTTACTGGTTGTTACACAGTGATTAAACATACTAGTTCTTACCTACTTAATACTGGGTGTAACGAGGCAAAACGCTATATATTATCGAGGACAACTAGAAGTATTCATCTATGCAATTATGTGCAGCCAGATGGAAGTCTGGTTTTGCCTATGGGCCAAACTTGATAGACACAAACAGGGTCTGACTCAAAAGGCTTGCATCAGTAGGTAGCTCTGTGTGCCAGAAATCTGTGTTCCATCACAACATCAGCCTTTCAACAGAGCACAGTTCAGGCAAGCTAATTTCTGACTAAATGCTTCTGGATCAACCATCTCATATCCAGTCAGCCAGAACAAAATAAGCAGAATAAACTGGTGTGTTTGTAAGAGGTATGCTCTTAATCTTGCTTTAATACATTGTGGACATTCTAAACAACTGTTGGAAAAACTGAATTTGAGAGATCAAAATGGTTAAATATTCAACACTTCCCAATAAAAACAACTACATATCAACACTTTATTGAGGAAAAACCTCCTTAAACTGTCTACAGATGAAAGTGATATTAATATTCCAAAATAGATAATAATAGCAAGTTAAACTTACTGGTTCTGTAAGCGTGCTGTCCTTTTCTAAAAACTGAACTACACAGTACGCCAGCTGCAGTAAAAGAAAAACATTTTTTATTAATGCTCACTGTGAAACTGAATACACTTTGAAATCACTAGCATAAGTGAAGAACAATACTGAAATCAAATAAAACCACAACAGTTTTTCTGTAATTTTACAAAAATTATTTGGCAGACAATTTAAACAACAAAAGAGTAAATACGCTTCACCAATTTTTCCCAACCTTCCCAAGTCCATCCCCACCTTTTTCTGGGTTATAATACAGGCAAACACATAATTTGATGTTTTCTTTTTAGATCTAGTACTTGGCACTTCAGCTCACCGCATCTTTTCAAACACAGGATTTAAAAATCACAATCTTGTCCTCTAAAGTGCTTTCCACTCGCTAACATTTTGGTGTCCCATGCTAATTTAATAAGTACTTTCTATTTCATAACATGAGTTAGTTAAAAATGCATTGAAGAGTTGTAAATTGTATAGGATTTCCTATGTATGAGAACTAATTATAACTATGCATATCAATGTAAAGCTGATGCAACCTGAGGCAGAGTTACAGTATTTGCCAAACTTCAATTCTGAGAATGAGACTGTCTATCTGTGCCCAACTGCGAACTACTAAACCCCTTTCACTCAACAGACCAACAGTCCCAAACTAAGTGAGAGGATCACCACACACCTCGGGAACTGTTAAACCATTTTTCTAATGTCTCTACTTATGGAAGTTCAGCTGATGAGCCCAATTCCTTTCCTGTTTTTGACGACTGCTACCAAGAATGTCCCTAGGTAATCAGAGGAATGTACAAAGATTATTACATCCAGTGTTCACTACTATTCTACAGTAAATTTGAATTGAATAGAGCAATCAGCTTGCTTCATGTATATCTGGAGTTGCCAGCAAATCCCTTTGAATATCTGCCACTGTTTCAACATGTATTTTTGTGGTTTTACTCTGGTGTTCCACACGCTGAGCTCACTTGAAAGTGCTTTCTCATTTCATTCAATAGGACACATAAGAGAAACATCCCTATCTCAGTATCTTCTTTTTACTGATAGTAATGAGGAATGCAAATCACCTGAAGGTTCAGGAGAATTATTCGTGAATTAAGGGGAACAGATACAAGACCAATCTGTCTCAGGTAGGTAGAAGAAAAGGTGGGGATCCCAGACATCTGCACTAGTTGAGACCGTAAGAAAGGTCTGATTTGCCACACTCCAACAGGTTATGTTCACAGCATTAGAAAAAAAAGAAACAAATCTTTTTAAACAGGAGCCACTCTAGCCTACCACTTCAACAGGAACTGATGTTAGCCACCGTAGGCAAGATCCAAAGCAAATGCTTATAAGCCTCTCTAAGTGCTAGAGAATTGTAATTATACAAACGGTGTTCTCAAAAACACAAGTTGTTAGTAATTTTATTTGAAGAAATGGTACGTAAAAATTGGAGTACTTGAACTTAGAGAGAAAATGTGGAACTTTCAAATTAAAAAAAAAAAAACAAAGCTGTGTAACAATGTCTCACGAAGGAAATTTCAGCCTATCACAATAATACTGTGTTTTCTCTTGTATGATTTCCGACCTCTAGGAATTCTGAATAGAACTAAAAGCACAGAAAAGAAAGCTAGTTTCAAAGCACAATACAACCCAGCTGCCCCCTTTTTTCTGTGTACTTCTAAAAAGATCTACTAAATTAAATAGTCACATCCTAGTAAACATCCAACTCCTTTCAAAACATCAACAGTTGCAAGAAACTGAATCAGCTGAAACTCTCCATGTAGTTTAGAAAAAACTGTTTATAAACAACAGTCATTAAAACCATATTTTTCTGCAATTCTTTTTTCATCTAAACATTACAGACAAGAACAAGATATACAAAGAATTCTCTGTGTGGATAAATATCAAGAACTCACATTAACCAACTACTTCATGTGTTTCCTCCATAAACACTACAGTGCTTTTAAAAAAAAGATATTTATTACTATACACACTTTCTTTTTTTTCACCTCAACAAGTGAAGCGTTATAGGTACATACATTAAATAATTTCACCAAGGCCAGTTAGCAGGGAAGTGTTGGAGCTTATTGATGTCAGAATGACTGGAGTCCCCCTGACCTCTCCAGGGAAACTTCCTTTAACACTAGTATGAAAAGCACCAAACAAAACTTACCTGTGGATGGTAGACACTGAGTGATTTCACTTTGTGCAATGGTAACAAAACCTTCAATAGGAATATTTTGTGCTCCTCTTTTAATGGTAAGGCAAATCCATTAATTATGCTGCCAGGGAAAGAAATTTTAAAATAAAAATCAGTAATTATACAAAGTCTGCACTACTCTACAGGATATACCAAAATCCTTATTTTCAGTACATTTTTTTCCCCCCGATCTATTGGAGAACATGATTCAACAGAAAAAGTTACAAATTAAGCCTTTGCCAAAGACTAGGTGAAGGCTAGGTGATTTGATCCAGTTCTCTAAAGACTACAAATTAATAGAATAGTCAAATCAACCTCTCCCTATCCCTCACCCAAGTCTCTCACAGGTCCTAAATTCTTCTAAGCAACATATATGACTGTAACTACACTTCAGATTCCAATTTTCACTATGAATTATTCACTACCATCAAAGCTTGAATACATATTTCTCCCACCTTCTTCATGGAATTAAAGTATGATCAAGAGACTGGATGCAGAAGAGAACAATCCAGAACAGCAGACACGTCATGACTTCTAATAAAATACCACTATTTCTGCAAGACCCTAGCATATAACCAAACATCTCAAGACATGACATCCCAGTTACACGCTAGTGCAGATGTGGCTTAATACTGGGTCAATGGCACCTTTCCCTAAAAACACAGTACTAGAACAGTATTTTGTGTTCACTCACTTCACTAGCATTAATATAGAGTATCCAGCGTCCTATTGCTCATTAACTGTTTTAAATATTTTTTTTTTTTCGTTCTAATGCTCTCTCTTCACTAACAAAAGCAGAAGGCACCCAGGCAAAAGGAACCTGCCAAACTTATCTTGCACATGGATTAGAGAAATCAGCTGATAAAAACCACACTAGTTTTAACAAGCCTATCAGCTTTAAGTTGTAAAATTTGTTTCAAGGGCATTCAGATACATCACCGAAGTTTGCAAAATACCAGGATTAACAGAAGGTTTCTGACATTTCATAACCTTTGTCTACCTACTAAGCATTTGGTGATGTTAGATGAATTTTTGACTAAATCTCAACTCATTACATATTATTTGTAGTTGCTTTACAACTAATACTAATTACAAGGATCCTAAGCTAGAAAAGATGACTTAAAAAAAAAGATTTTAAAGACTGCCACATCCCAAAATGCTGCCAGAAGGTTCCAGTTTTTGCTGTTTCTGCAATCTTACACAAAACTTACTCTCTTTGTTACAGCTTTGACATATGATATGAAGCTATTTTAATCTCATCTCAAAGCAATCTGCAATCCCCAACTTGATTTGAGAAGTCTACTCTGAAGACCAAGCAAGTTTAATTAAACAAAACCAACAACTTACCTTCCCAGTATTTCCAGTAATTCTGCTATGCCATTGTGATGTTCTGTTTCATAAATAAACCTAAATAAACGAAAAATTTTATCTCAGTTAATTGGGACAGAATTCGTGCAGTTCTGGTCAGTGACTAAGACAAAGATCACACAGTTCCTAGGTAAGCACAGTAACAAACTGACGACTCGCAGGAAAACTGTAAGAAAAGAAAATATTTTGAAAAATTCTATACATACTTTAAGAGCTTATCGTGCACAATCCACTAATTCAAGACAGACGTTGAAACAACTTTCCTCCCTGGTGCGCATAGCCAGGAACACTACTTTACATTTGGATGCAAAATGTTTCAACTTCTAGCTCCTAAATATTATACAATTAAGTGAGGTTTTCTGTTTAATTCCCTCCCCCTACAACTTGGTAGAGAAATGTAGTCTGTACAGTGCAAATTTTATAATCTCCCATATATATTTCACATTGAAAACGTCTTTATACAAACTATTACAAAGTTGATCTAATGACCAGAACATTTCTTAGACTTTCAAAAGCCTTGCACCAGAACTATTTCTGTTTGAGGACTTTGCTCTGTGAAAGTAAAGTGCAAGAAGTGGCAAATAAAAACACTGTTCAGACATGCATTATAACATTCTGTGATGCTGTTGTACCACCGGGTTCAGGTATTTTCCAAAATTATGCATTTTGGAATTAATTTAATAAATTCTGGGGGGGGGGGGGGGGGCGGAAATTTACATCTTGGTTTGAAAGATACACCTGTACTTTTTCCTTAGGACATACTGGCTCTTGAAACGTCCAGTCAAGAGCAGCTGTCTGCAAGACAGTGAAGGCTTACTAATTATTTTAAAGTAGCCCCTCTGTATCTCTTCTAAAGGCTTACTTGTTACCATAGACAGGGAAGATAAGCTCCTTCTACAGCTGGTACTGCTGGGTGCCATTCATGACAGGCGGCAGCTTTTTGCTGTTTTCTTAAAGGGGTAGCATCATACATTCATTTGGGGATGAAAACAACAGTGGTAGAGAAAATGGGAAGCATGACGGAAGGAGTGTAAAACTGATAGACAACATAATTATTTGTAGAAGAGAGAAGCATACCAAAACTAAAAGACTAAAAAAAGGCATTTCACACTTACATTCAATCTTGCATTCACACTTGACATAGTGGCAGTAAAAACACACTTCTAAAGACCTTCGGTAAGACAGTGAATTAACTTTTCATCTTTACATTTTTTGTATTGGGGATAATACCACAGTTCATTCTATGGCAATTAAAAAATATTTCATGAGCCCTAAATGGTACATCTCAGTTCTGAGGAACAGAAAGGCAGTAAATACTTTCTTTCAAGCAAATTCCATCTCTCTCTGTCATTTGATTTGAGCCCAACGTCTGCATTATGAAGAACTACATTTTATTAAGGCACTACTGTAATACAAATACTACCACTGAATAAGGAAAAAGCGCCCCACACATGAAGATATCAAACTACCCACTGAATCACATGCTAACTCAAATTTCAGCTGCCAAATTTATGCTGTGTGCAAGACTACCCTAATTTAAAACTCCCAGACTGGTATTATTGGGAGATGTAGCAATATCGGGTATAAACATGCTAAGAATTAGAAAAACTGCTAGCATTGTCTTGGGAGTATTTTTCAGTTGTATACCTGATCACATGCACCATAATACAAAGATACTGACATACCTATAAAATATATTATTAATTTGTTTCCGGATGTAAGCTCTTAGGCCTAAGAATTTCCCATATATTCTGTGAAGAGTTGTTTTAAGAAAATCTCTTTCACGAGGATCTTCACTGTCGAAGAGCTCTAAAAGCTGCAAAGAGGGAGAAGAAGAAATGCACTTTACTTGAATCTAATGTATTGGAAAAATAGTTTAGAGCTTGAAGTAAAAAATTCTTTTTTTTTACCTCACCTGTAATACAAACTTCTGATCAATATATTTCTTAGCTATATTAGGTTGAAAATCTGGAGATTCTAAAAACCTTAAGAAAAATTCATAAACAAGCTGCAAAAAAATGAACAAAAAACAGCATTAGTCTTTTAAACAAGGAACCATTTATAAGCAGCACATTACCAAAATTACTAACAGTTGCTCAGAACTGCACTGTTTTTATGTTTCTTTATATACCACACAGTAAAAGCTTTGCTCTTGCTCTCCTGACAAAGCACAAGAGCTTAAGGTTCTTTAAACTGCATTGAAACTGCTGAACTCCATTACTAGACTTTACTCAAATGACATATACAGTAGTCATCATGCCCAGAAGTACTTGTTTTGAAAATTCTCTGTTCTCCTCTGTTTGTCACAGTACCCCCAAAAGCTAGAGTCGTGCCAGAGTCAGATCAAAGCCTTCATAGTGACAAACGAAGGCTCATTTAAAATCACGGCAGCTACATCTGTACCACAAGAAACAGTGAGCCTGTAACCTATATTACACTAACTGAAATTTCTTTAAAAGATTATCAGTTTAAATTCAATAAATATATTTTAAATATTGCAGAGAGGTGTAATTGACTTCAGATAAACTGAACAATTCTGAGTCGATAAACTATTACTTCAATGTCAAAATTCAGTTAGACTATGGCATCCTAGTCTTCATTAAATACCTGTAGATGAGGCCATGCAGCTTCTAAGGTTGGTTCATCTTCCTCTGGATCAAATTCTGCTCCCGTCGGATTGGAAGATGGCGGTAATGTTCGAAACATATTAACTGCAAACTGAAATCACACGTGCCTTTAAGAACTTTGAAACAAGTGAATGACTACAAAGAGACTTCAAAGGTGATTTTGACCAAAAATTCTTTACATGAACTATTTTAATTAATATTTGCAAAAATACAAGCTATATAACCCAGTAGTTTAAATAATGAGGTACATTCATTCTTCTTTAAAGATTTCCAACTTGCAGAACACTTTTCCACACAGTACTCTAAAGCACAAACCTACTGTCAGGATGTGTTTTATGGGGATATTGGTATGATCTCTTTACACACACATTATAAAAGCCTAAGCAAATGTATATAAAATTTTTATACAAACAATTTTTATATATACACTTTATAGGGCCTCCCAACAACCTGCAAAAGTGGAAGTCAGAAGCAGAGATGCAAAACAAAGATTACCTGCAACTGTTCTGTGTAAAATATTATCAGTTTCATTTTCAACCATGGGTATACACATGTGGAAACACTTCAAAACCAAATTCCTCCCTCCTCCTCTTACTGATATTTTCCTTAAACCATGTCCATGTACCTGACATCAAATGGGCATTGAGGGAGGAGAAATGCCATTGAGGGAGGAGAAATGCACATCCTAATCCTTTAACTTTTCACTTCGTCTGAATTCTCAGCCCCCTGGAAATCATTTAGCATCCTCATGGAAGTCGAGCACACTACAAAGATGAATTGCTTTTCAAGTTGTTGATATATGAATAGACAAATTATTTTTGTGTTTCCAAGTGGATGTCTAGACACATGTTCATATTATGTATGAACCAAAGTAGTACTCTTTAACATCAGGAGAGTTTCGAAGTCCCCAACAAAGACAAAAAAACCATTCTCTGTCATATGGATGGAAAACTTTTCTATGAGGTCCTGTTCTAGGCAAAACAATCTCATCACTAAATGCATGCAGCTTGAGGTTTTTAAAAATAAAAATACATAAACAGAAGCAATTGCATTCATATAAATTTATGCAATGTACATAATCACAAATGCAAAGTCAAACACATCTGTTGTCTGAAAAAAAAAATCTTACATGAATTTTGGGATAAATTTAGCATGCATTCTCAAGTGTAACCTTACCTAGAATGGTGCAAAGATTTAAAAGGTCTGCAATATCCTAAGTTCTCCACGGGTAATGACAACTAGCAAAACCATCTGGCTTCTTTGTGAATAAGAAAGGAATAGCCAGTGATTTAAATTGTTGTTCTCACACCCTGAGGAGTTAATGATTAAGACTTTACTAAGCAAGTTGGAGGGAACAGGTGCATTTGCCAGTAAGGAAACCTGAGAAAGCCTTTATCTGCATATGCAAGACAGCTATGGCTGTCAGCCCTGAAAAGAGACTAATTCCTCAATTACACTTGTAATTCAGAGTATTGGGTAGGGCAGATGTTGGTAGGAGACAACCAAATTGCTGAGCAACTAGGAAAATGTGATCTATTTAGCTGCATAAGTGCACCAAATACAGACTTACTTGTTCTATTTTGTTGCTTTCTCATTATCAAACCAGGACCAAACAATCTAAACTTATTTTTGCACAGAATAATAAAAAAGATCAATTCAAATTCATATATGGTCCCAAACTGCCTCCACCACCTTTGAGACAAATGCCTCAGTCTGTCAGCAGCTTGAACACATTAAAACGATAAGAAGACTGCCAAAATAAGAGAGTGGTATACTGTCTGAAATCTTCATAAAGGTTGAGTGTATTAGGCTACATAAAGAAATTCTCTTCAAGTCCATACCTTCTTCCAACACTAAAGTAAATTCTGCTTTCAAATATGCAGACCATGTTGTGCTTTATAAAAATACTAAGGTATTTTAAATTAAATTTTGGTAAACACTTGCTCACAATGAGAATGGTACCTATGCTGAATGGTGAGCTACATCCTGCACAAAACTCATTTATCAAATCAGCTGCATGGAGCTTCAGCGTAAGGCATACATATACCCTGTCCTAAATATGTACCACAAGCACTGGTGAGAGTTAACCTATACATTTTTATTGATATTCTACTGCTATTAACAGATTGCAGGTGTCTTTTTGCAAGTATTTAGGGGAAGATCTGAGAATACATTTCCTAACTCTGGCAAAAAAAGACACAGGGCAGAGAAGCTCATTTGCCAGGAAAAGGAAAATTCTTTGCAAAAGGCTACATCACCATGAGCAGCAGAAACATTTACACAGCCTTTTCAAGAAAACCAATACTTGGCTTAGCAAACATGACAGTATAGGGCATCTCCACGACCAGAAAAAAAAAAAAAAAAGATTTACACCATTGGAACTTTCACTGTATTGCAATGTCTTATTTGAGGATGCAAAAGAACATTTTATTTATTTCATCAGCTGAAAGGTTCCTACACTTTCAACAAGTGTATAATATAGGTCAATTTAAGGAAAAAAACCTAAACCTCAAGTTTGAATTTACTCATATCTATTCAGAATGCAAGGTCTACTCCAATATCACATTTAAAATATATTCTTTATGCCACAATTTCTGTCTTTATTATGTTCAAATTCCACTGCAGATAATAATCACAGGTGCCATATACACATTTTTACATTTTTATCCTTTTCCCAGGTTTTACTGAGGGTTTCTTTTTTTGTCATTTGTTTGAACCGTTTTGGTTTTTTTGTCTTTTTTTTTAAAAAAATTTAAATAGCACCTTTTTTTTTCCTGCTGATCATTTCAAGATTACTCGAAAGCTCTGAAACATTAAGCTGTCTCAGTTTAAAGATGCTATTTTGCAGAGGAATGCATTCCAGCCATCTTTGGTGCGATTTTGGGAAAAGCAACAGAATGTCATGTTTCCCTCTTCACATTCTGACTTCTCATTAACACCTCCATTCACAGTTTAAAATAATGCTGCGAGTTACCTATTAACTGGCAGGGCTAAGGAGCATATGTATATGCCGTCCTGCCATCTCACATCTGACAGATGGCAGAGCAGACAGTGGGAGGCAGTATGAAACTGCATCAGCTAAATCTGCAAGACTTACATCATATTCCCATGAAGGAAAAGTCATGTTGATGCTCTATTTTTCTTCAGAATATTTCTTCATTTCAGCAACTGAAATGTAGGTCTGATGCAGACCATGACTGGCATACCAGAGTAATTACTATTTCACAGAAATGAAGTAAACCTAAAATACATTTATGTTCCCCTTTTAAAAGAAGTGAACATCAAGCAACTAACAACCTCCATTATTTGTTTAAAAAAATACAGTGAAAAATTACAATAATCAATAGTCTTCCAAGAAGACAAACCCAGGAAGACTAGACCTGAAACTTAAAACTTGCTAAGGTTGTTAAGTGAACAGAGGAATAATCAGCCTTTTCTAGATGAGAAAGTATCAGGCTCTCGCTATGAAGAAAAGCCTGTTCATGTAAGGTGTTGTGTACAATGTTTTTGTTTTTTTTAAAATATCAAATGGAAAGAGTTAAAACACAAAACCAGACTAATTTGTTCCATGAGCAATGGAACCAATGAAGCCCGAGTTGACCTGTTTTGTGTTTTATATCCTTGACCAACAGAACACAAAACTGCTCAAATCAAGGTGCAGCACCTCTCATTGAAGGCACAACCCCAAAACTCTCTTGTCTATTAAGGTACTGAAACGAGAAATTTACAATGAATTAGTTACCAGTGAGACTTTTACCTTTCTATCAAATGGCTGATCTTTTTCCTAACTTCTCAGTCTTTTGGCCAAACAGACACAACAAGGTGCATTTGGCACTAAGGCCATTTTCCCACAGAAGTACCAGGTAAACTTAGCTTAACTTTAACACATCCCCTCCCGAGGCTCACTGCCAACAAAACCCCAGAAGCCCCCCCCCCCATTTATGAAATTTGAGTCTTTATGAAAACAGCTAGTGTGCCAAAATTCTAAGCTGTTGGCACTGACAATAGTTGACTGCAAAGGACGTAACTTAGGAGGATGGAAGAACAAAGAAGTAAATGAGTAAATGCAAACAACCTGCATTTTTACCACTTCAGATATGTTTGCTTAATGGTAGTTACAGAGCCTGGTTTTCTGGTGGCCCATTTTGTGTAACACTGGAGAGTATTTTCAAGCAAGTAAGCATCACAGATACGATTACACATTTTCTCCTCCCTTCTGCTGAGCAGCCTGAGTGAACAGCTCTGAATAACAAGCTATATATTCTGAAAGTCTGTGCCTTCTATATTCATGTGAAAAAAGCCATCCTAATAGCTAAATAGAGCCACAAGTAGTACCTTTCTGTTCACAGAAACAGCTCTTATTCTAGACCAAAGATCAGAGCAAAAAAATAAAACCCACAAAAACCTCACCTGCAAAACCCCCAAAACAAAGAAACCAATCAACCTCCCATGGGTATAACTGATTATGCAACTTAATTTCATAATGCATGAAAAGTTGCAGTGAAAACTGCTTCAGTTACTGAATAAAATTACATCTGTTCCTATATATTACCAATTTTAAAAAGTAGTATTAGACTACACGCTTCACAAAAACATTTACCATTCACAGGTACTCATCATCATCACTAAGGAAATTATTCTGGGAGCTACAGAAATAAGCAAGCTACGTTTATACATGCTTTTGATCTACTTCATCAGAACACTACAACCCTGGACCTCCACATCCAGTACTGCCCTCACCTCCTCTCAGCTCTCCTCAGTACTCTCTGGCTGACTAGCTCGGGAAGTGAATACTCACGTTGATTTTCACTTTCATAGTCTCTCTTGAAACAGATACAACCCAGATGTTGCCCATCCTTCCCTGAGGTGGAAAGCAGCATTAATTTGGGCCTGTATTCTGCCTAGCTAGCAAGTCTCACAAAGTTCTACAAAACTAATATTCTAAGTGTCTGTGCTTCTGACAAACTAGTGTACAACAGAACATTCTCATAAAGCGCCACGCTCTTCAAAAGCCAAGTTAAAAACAAAAAACAAAAAACAAAACCACAAAAGCATATATTCTTTTTAAAATAAGAATCTGTAACTGATGCTTTTGATTAAAAATCCTAAACTTAACATTTACATTCACAAGATTTAGTAAGACATTCGAGTACATGAGTTACGGTTCTGAGAAGAGGTAAGTTTCTGAGGCTAATCAATCCAACCTTACTATATCATATCTGAGAAAAGACAGTATATATTCTCCTCAGCCAAATATATTCTGGCCATAACTATTTGATGGAGGAAGATAATGCAGGCACATAAGGCAAAAGTTACGAAGTTACAGGCACTTAAGACTTCTTACACAGAGCAAACACTAATGTCTGACATAGATATTCAAGATCTCATCATGAACTCCATTTTACCTAAATGGAGTTCAGCAAGCTTATTCTCATGTTTCATAAGTCTCCTTTCACCAGCGTCAAGTATTCCAAAGCAAGCAATCAATTAGCAAAAAAAAAAAAGATATAAATATGCTATCAAGACATGGAAAAAGCCATGATCCCATATCTCCTCATTAACCATCCTCAATGCTTTGTGTACACGTTTGACATCTAGAGTTATACGTAATCCTTATATACTCAGAAGTTCTCACAAAAATAACTTATGCATCAGTAAACACTTACGGCCACTTTAGATAACAAGCAATCCTTAGAATAAGCAATATCTTTCATACTATAAATCCTTAGAATCTTTGAAGAAGCTTCAAAGTTTCTGATTTATAGCAGGACCTCAAAATTTTACTAAGTTCATATTTATGTTAAAGATGCATTGTCTTCTCATCCCCCTGAAAATTCACCCCAAGCTATAAAGTCTTGGGAAAAACCATCATGTCACACACGGTCAAGAGTTTCTTGTGGGCTTCGTAGTCAGGAATTTCAAAAGACGCTTTATGTTCTCAGTGTATTGCAGACAACAGCTACAGACCTCAACCAACTGCTACCCCAGGCAACTGGTGTCTAGTCACAATAACATGAGCTGAAAGACTCTCCTGAAGTTTCATGGCCTCCTTCTCTGAAGCAGATTTAAGCATGACAGAAAAATATACCAGGTCTAGCTGCCTAGGATTTGGATAGCAAGAAGGAAAAACAATGTAGGTCTGAACAGTCCACATAGCTTGTTCCAGCAGAAGCCTCATCTGCCATCCTGTGTACTAAAAGTCTGACTCTCATTCTCATTTCTGAATACAGAATAAAATCAATCACTGGTACTGAATGGGATTAAATAAGATAAGTGTCAAGGTTGCACAGGTGATCTTAATTCTATTTTTTTTCAAATTTTCAGTTTTGCAATCGGCTTTTTTTTTTTTTTTTTTTTTTTTACCAGCTAGATGTATTTAACTCTCCTCTGTATTTTTATAAACACATATTCCCCAAAAGATTTGTGGGGAAAAAAGCAAGCCCCACTTTTTTTCTTTTCTAAATACAAGATGTCATTTTTACCAGCTTAAACCATAATTTACTTCTGCTTCATACATGCATCTAGTTTCTGTCTTACAAAGAAGAAAAATCAACACTGGCAATGGGATTTTTAAAAGCACTGTTATATTACCATTTTGCACATGTGCAAACATAGTCTATCTTTTTTGAAGATTTCTTAAGATAAATTGATATAGCTGAAGAAACAACTATGAATTAAAAAAATCAAAATAGTTCTCATTGTTAAATCACTTACCATATGTACTACTTCGGGGTAAATAGGTTCTGTAATCACATTGCGATTGTGTGTGATATATTCTACCATTTCACTTAAAGCTGCTCGTTTTACTTCCTTCCACTTTAGGTCACTTAGTGGATCAGAAACAAAGTCAAAAAGTACACAACATTGTCGTAACTTCTGGATAAAAAGCTTTTCTTGATCAGCAGGAGGAACATCTGAAAAGTGAAAAATAATTGGTTATAAATTATATTGTAGTGGACTTTACTCTTGTCCCCGTTTTTACTTCCTGAGACACAGTCATAGCAGTGTTTAAGACTACAAGCAAACTATTTGAATCTTCAAACCACCTTCAGGAATATAACGGCCCAGAGTATGAACCCTAGTAAAATACATTGCACATGACAGGATGATTTAACAAAATTGCAACAGTGATGAATACTTGCCTTTGCCAGAAATAGATACTGCATGGAAAAAACACGTACTCGAAAAAAATGCCTCAAGGAATTCCCCAAACAGCTCAGTTTGTGTAAAGAACATTATGCTGCATTTGCAGATATTAGAGATATTAATATTAGAGATAAATTGGTAGATCTTCAGTTTCAGCATTAGATTTAAGCCAGAGACTTTTTAAATCTGGGAGCTGCCACTTCACAAAGTCCACCTTTACATCAAGTCCTGCCTATGACACAACAGGCTGCAGTAACCACATCTAGGCACAGAACAACTATTCAAGATTTTTTTAAACTTCATTAACACAAGAAATATTTAAAGAAACTGGAGCAGTGCACCTAGGATCTTCCAACTATTTGACCAATTTGTGACACTATTTTGAAGGTTTGTTTCACACATAGAAAAGTTAGACTTGCATTATCAATCTATTTAAGCACTTGCAAGAGTCTGTTTGCTTAACTGTGTCCAGCACTGAATATAAGGTATGAAAAAGTTAACAGTAAACTTTAAAACAAATTGACTAAATACCTTGTTTGATATTTACTCATTGTTTAATCATCACTCAGATGGAGCTGATAAGAAACTATTTTGATTTCTCTCTTCTGTAATACCTATTAAAAATATTTCACAGGCTTCAGACATCCTGAGACCAGACTCCCCATCTTCAATAACAACCAAATCCAAACAAAAAAAGAAAAAAAGATGAGAATATTTGCGCTCTCTTGGTAAAATATAATTCATTGTCTGCATCACTGTTATACAGACACTTAACCTTCTCAGACAAAGCTTGCCTTGCCTTAGACACTTTGTGCGGTGGTATTTTTATTGTTTGACAAGGATACCTAGGCTATAAAAAAAATCTGAGGTTTTTACCTCCAAATTTTCACTCCCTGTGCTTTACACCTTAATCCTCCCTGCTGATCCTCCATAATTAATTATTTAGCACTTGCATGTAAAGCAGAATTAGACTGCATAGTTCAAACTTCATACACAGAACTGACAAGCAAGCAAGCGAGGATGATTTTGCCATCAGTATTTTCCAAAATAATGAACCTTCAAAAAATTAAGTGTCCTCACATCGACATAAACCCACCAATTACAATTTGAAACGGAAGTAAGCCTAAACCACTGAGTCTAAATATAGATACAGAAGTTTAAGTTTAGGTTACTGTTAAGAAAGAACTAACACTAGACTGCACTTTATAAACATTCACATGTTCACAAATTAGAACACTTCCTGTGGCTAACACTTCAACAGTTACAGAACAGAAGTCAGACCTTTTAAATTCTACAGAGCTTTAGCCTGGATGCCACAAAATTCTGCATGTACTTTATTTTTCGCTTAAATAATCCCAGTTAAGATGACTAATATATGTGAAATTAGATCATCATACACAGCAAAAACTTGCAGGATCAGGACCTTAACTTTCAATACTTAGGAAATACTAAAGTAACTGGCCAGAGTTAAAGAAAGCCGTACCATATTTTGACAGCAGCAAAAATTCCATTTTGTCCAATTAAAATGGCTATATGACTACAGCACTAAGCTTAAGACGAGAATTGGGAACACACTACAGAAAGTCTGCATAAATTAACACAGTAATGCATTTTATGTTTCTGCATAATGACTTTTTTATTGCTGGATACGAACTGCTAAGACATTAATAGCACGTTAAAAAAGAGAAAGACTAGACTGCCTTTGTAAACAGTTCTTCAGTTTACTCCCACTTCTTCCAGTTGATGACTCTTCTTTTTCCTTAAGAGTACCATAAAATGCTAAAATTTTCTTAAATACAAGCAGCAAGAGCTACCATCAAACAAAGTATTTCAAGTGGTACCACTGAATACAAACACACACAACCCAACACATGCACGTACAATCTAATAAATTGAATGTCTGACATATCTACAGTCCAGTTGATTAGTTAAATACAATGAGTTGCCCTCCTTTAAGTGTCTGACAAACTTAAGATAACAAAAGCTGGAGCTCCCTCCCCAAGAGAAGTTGCTTTCAAAAGTACTTTTATTACAATAAACCTGGAGGACATATTTTTTTAAAACAGCTGGCAATTTTTTTTTAAGTTACGTACACTGAATTGCTCTGAAGATTAATTCCGGAAAAAACGTAGTAAATTAAGAGCCCTGAAGAACACACAGAATAAAAATGTAGCATACATACCAGAAAATATAACCAGTCACAGATTTCAGTGCCACCAAGACATCTGAGATATTGAAGACTTCAAGAACTAGAAAGAAGATGCTAAGTGACAAGTGTCCCTAAACAGAGCAAGAACTTTCTGGCAAATAAACCTAAATTCCTGTCCAGTGTTGTGAACAAATCAAAAGTACTTCAAGCCACACAAATTTTGTATCTGAATACACATGCTTTTGTCTATTTGGATTACAAACTATAGCAATTAATAATTTCTCCTGGAAAAAGAGTATTTAATTGAGTAGTTTCCATACCGAAAGCCAGCCAAATTTATGATCTCAATGTAAAAAGTCTCAGACACACAAAGTGGTTAGAGTGGTTACCTTTTCCCAATTAACTGTAAAACGGAAAGTGGCTCAACCTGAAGCGTAACAACACAATTTCGCTTACGGATATTGTGCTATGAATGTATGCTCCACAAAATCCAAAGCCTAGAGACTATAATCATACAAGTAATGGACATAAAATTACAGTGATTTACAGCACACTAACCTGAAAGGCGAGGAAGCATTAAAGCTGTAATTACTACTAATCTTGGAAGTTAAACACTGACAACTAAGAGGGTCAAGAAACACCCTCAACAAGGCAAACCACCTCCCTCACCATTTATTCTGAAGTGGCTTAACTGTTTTAAGTACCTTAGTCATTCTTGTTATTCTAGCAGAGAGAGAGATGTTCTTCATACAGACTAAGAATATCACGTATTTCTAAGGAACTATGTTTTGTCTGTTTGGGTTTTTTTTCCCCCCTTTAGGAGTGTTCATCAACAGCTTTCAAGTGTCCGGACCTCAAATCTCTTGTGATACTTGTCTGGAGTACTTGCCATCAAATCAAGACCATCCCTACTTTTATGGTTTGAAAGGATATTTCAGTATGACAGTGGCTAAGAAACTGACTTGAGTAGACTGTTAATTTTTGCGTAGAGAATGTATGCACACCAGCAGAGCAACTCCGAGATGCCCCGAAAAGTCATTTATCCTCAGCTACATGCCAGGGACTATCTGGTTACATTCTTTCAGTTAACTGCATGGTGACTTTTACATCACCTTCCACTTCAATTAAGTGATACCCCCCCGACTTCCGATTGCTGAAGTTAACTGACACATTTGAAGAGAGTGCCACTAGGTAAAAGTTTCTGTAACTGAGCAACGCTGGTGCTCCATTCCCCAATGACCATGGGAAGGCCGCGGTTATTCAGAAGCTACTCCTTACAATTATTTCAAACCCAACGTTTGGAGCTATTCACTGAGCAAGAAGAACAAACCAACCCCCTGTGCCCCCGATCAAATCAAAACCAAAAAATCCCCATACACCCCCCCCCACCTCCATTTGCTAGGGACTATTTACATAATTTTCACAGAATTTGTTTCTAAACAGCAGCAGTAGTATAACCTTAAGACTCTTACTCAATCCAAACACTTACCCTATCAGTAATGATATTTTGAGTACTATTTCTAATCTACTGGAACAGGAGCATAGTTTTTCAGAATCACAAAGAATTTCAGTCTTATGTTTGGATTGGATGTCCAGCAATGCCTGACAGATTTACACAAATATTGTAATAACACATTTCATGCCTAAATCTGCATTATTTATCCTACTCTCCTTTTTGTAAAATATAAAAATACACTAGAAAAAGTATCAAAGGAAGGTAGGTACCATGATAGCAAGGTAAGCCTCTGGGCCTGAGGGATCAGCTTTTTGTCTTGTTCAGGTTTTTCAGAGTTTTGTTCCTTCCAATCCCAGGATAAATGTTATATCAACTTACACAAACAACCTAGAGAGATGCAAACTCTACCCTTTCTATTTTAATGGTACTGATACAGAAGTAGCTATTCAGTTTAAAATAGTCAACATCATCTCACTGTGGCCTTGCCACATAATGCTGCTGCTGAGTATAAAATATGTTTCTTTCCACTGCATAATTGATACCAGCTGTTATTATCAGTATCTCACTTTGTAGAAGACAGCACTTTCAGTCCATATCTCAGTTTGAAACAGCCAGGGAAAGATCAGGTACTCAGCTACTGACTGCCTTAGCAGAACACAGACAGTTCGTTGTAAAAGCTATAATTTAAACACTCGACTTTGTATGAAAACAGATTCCTTGGAAGCTTAGGTATGTCTTCAGCTGTTCTTACTGTGAGTTAAAGGTAAGTGAGCTCACTGCAAATGAACTGTTTGTTCACATGGGTAACTGTCCTCCCTCCACCCTTGCTTGCTTCTCAGCCAGGATGTGGCATTGACAGACTATAGGATCCTGAAAAACTTTTTTTTTTTTTTTTTAAGGTAGAGCATAGCTAAGGAACTAAAACACTGTTATAATCTAACAAATGAAGACTTTTCCTGTCTTCAGATTAAAGCAGATTTTGCCTGGTTTAAGAAAATTAGAAATAGAAAAAGTAAAAATAAACCAGAACACACTGAAGTTCAGTTTTTAAGTGCTTGAACATATGTTCAATATTGTGTGATACATGAATATTTTTTCATTGTAGACTGTAGAGAACTTACTGTTCTCTCGATAACATTTTTTATGTTCCTTCAAATCTAAAAAT